GGGAAACTTAACAATTGTAACTGCAAGTCTTTAGTCGGAGTTCAAGGAATACTCCATTCTGATTATCAAATATTTTCATGTCTTAGTTTGAAAAATAAATAATAAACCTCATGGTTTTATTTTTTCCTTCAAAATGCAATGTAGTGTGTACAAAACAGCTGTTTTTTATTTGAAAATGAATATAAAGAGAAATATATATTCTCTGTATATTTAATATAAATTATCAAATATCCGTTATAAGTGGCTCAGGTTTATTTGAAGTCCTGTTATGGCCGAATCTATTGGCTGGATAGATTTTCAGGGAAGATGAGACAAGGAGCAGGCAGAAAAATGTTGAACTCTGGCTCATTACATTTTCTTGTTCCAGCCAAAAGAATCAAAGTTAGTGTAATGGAGAGGAACTTTGCTCTGCGATAGACATTTCTGGAGGGGGCGAATCGTCCAGGGTGGAAATCCATTCTGTGCAGAGGGAGCCTCTCGGATGATAAAACTCCTCCAGGATGCTCCTGGGCTTTTCCATCACCGAGGCAACATAAATGTAATTTTTAAGATGTTCTCAACTCTAGAAGTCCAATTTGCTCTTCACTTTTTTTTTTTTTTTTTTTTTTTTTGGGGGGGGGGGGGGGGGAAATTCACCTCGCCAGTTTTGAGGAGGTGGGCTTAAAATGAAGCAGGCGATTTCCTGAGGACTTATCGATCCTGATGTCATACGATAAAGCCCAACGTAGAATTTTCTAATATGTTGAATGCATAATCTTGTTCGAGGCCCTCTCGACATGTTTTCCTAGATAACTCTTCGACTTCTCTTGTGGTAATATTTATGTGTGAGCTCTGCGACGGCGTGGGCGGGCCTGAGGCTTCAGCTGAGATTTAGAGCCGCGGTGTGCCTTTAGTCCCCGGTGGTTGGGTAGGTAGTCACCCGGTGAAAACCTGCGCTCTGCTGTGCACATCTCTCTAATAAAGAGAGCGCTGAGGTATGAAAGCCCCGCAATGACAGCAAATGTTGTGAATAAATTGTTGCTCACACGTCTTACTTCATCACTCCCCAACTCACCGTGCCACTGTGGTTCCATAATTTGAAATGACGGGCTCTTGATTACTATTTACAGTGTTGTCAAGGTGAGGGAAAAGGCTCAACATGGTGGGTAAACAGATTCGCTGCCACTTTTCCACCAGATCTGCCGTTGTTGACTTTATGTGCACTTGCTGTTTCTGATCCGCTCCTCGCTTCTTTCTCTTTGTCTTACTCGTCTCTGAAGACGTGGGAGATGTGAGTCGCTTTTGAAACGGCGGCGATAGAAAAGTAGACTGGATCTCACCGACTGAAATTTTCTTTGCATTTTGATTAAACTGATAAGTTAGAAAATCATTCTTGATATCGGCGAACATGTGTGAAGCTTCAGGGTCCTTTCACACCAGCCACGTTAATCCAACTCCAGTTGGTTTGTCTAAAACGTCCGGTTTGTTTGGGGGAAGTGTGAACGTGCGATCAAACTCTTGATGTGGACCAAAAAAAGCGGACTCTGGTCCACATAAACGCCTGTTTCCGTTCGGTTGAAGTGAACTCTGGTGTGGAAGTAAGCGGACCAGAGACCACTCCCAGAGCAGGAAGTGAATTATACCACAGGGCTTTCTGGGTAAATACAATCAAAACAAACATGTGGGTCTAATATTTGCAGGAGAGATGACTGGTCTTTTTTCACCAAAGACAAAAGAGAAATCCTACAACCGCTAAAATCTGATGCCGCTCCATTTTTGTTTACGTTTTGTGGAAAATTAAGTTACTCATACCTTCTGCTGAGGTTTCCGTGTTTTTTACTTCAGTGGTTCTTGATGCAGCGCCTCCACAGACGACAGTAAGCAGGTTTTCAGCACGTCCTTTTTTTTCTTTCCATCCGCAGTGGCTCCAGTGCGCTGTCGTAGTTCTGGTATTTTCACATCACTCAGAAATTACTTGTATTTTTCTGTTTTTTTCTGCAGTGTTAGCCTTTGTTGTCATGCAGAGCTGACAAGCAGTCTACATTAGCCAACCCTGTCAATGTGGCAGTGCAACTTCTTTCCTTTATGCTTTTAGTCGCCATCTAACAATGTGTCATGAGACAGATTTGACTTTGACAAAAAAAAAAATACTTGGGCTTTTTTAATATTACAAGATGTCATTAAAGACTTAACGGATGCTTCAAAAGTAGTAGTGGAATATAACAAGATGTCTGCAATATGAAGCTTGTTTTTTTCTTTTTTCTTTTTTTTTAAGAGTAAAAATTAAAAAGCAGCTTGCAACTTTTACAGTTCAAGTATTTCTTGGAAGTTTCTGGTTCTAATAGAGCTGCGTTCAGTACCACAAATTTAATCATTGTTCTAAATTTTAAAGTCGTATTTGAATTCAACTTTCATTAGATGTAAGGGATCAAACCGAGGTTACTGAAAGTCAACAGTATCTCTTCTCTGTCCTGCTTTCAGTCTCCTTGGTAACCAGTTGTTATACTGGCCAGTGGGTGATGGTGTTTTCAACTGGTTTCTTTATGAACTTTGGGTTTTAGCTTCCATATGTGCCAAAGCATCATAACATGGTTACCACAGAAGACTCATTTTGAAACACTATTTCTGCAGCCCATTAGTAGGACCAGTTAGCTTTAGAGTCGTCGCCATGGAAATTATCAAAGAAAAATCCTACACTCTGCTGCACATAAGTGTGTTGTGCAGCTATAAATAACACATCCATCTGAAGCTGAGGACAAGTTACATGATTTTTTTTTTTTTTTTTTTTCACTGAATTTTGCCCATAATTCCCAGAAATAAAACGTCTGCACTAACTGGGAAGAGTTGATAGGGCTACTTAGACCACAGATCTGTGATTGTGTAAGCCAGCTTACATCACACACATTCAAACATGATTACTTATATATATATATATATATATATATATATAGATGGATAGATATAGGACTTCTGAGATAAGCGGGTAAAGTGAACTGTTTACTGACCCAGTGTCAAATACATGTAGCAAACAGCCCATGAAAAAGAGCAGCAGGTCATTGTCGTAAAGTTTGATGTGTTCAGGTAGAGCAGGGGTGTCCAAAGTTGGTCCTCGAGGGTCGGCATCCTGCATGTTTTAGTTCTCTCCCTAGTGGTTGTAACAACCTCCTCAGCAAGTCAATGTTCTGCTTAGGCCTGTAATGAGCCATCATTTAATGCATGTGTGTAAAACCAGGGAGAGAACATGCAGGATGCTGGCCCTCGAGGACCAACTTTGGACACCCCTGAGGTAGAGCTTTAGTTCTCATCCAAAATCTGCTTAAGCCATTTGTCTTGTGAAACCACTTACATGATTTAAAAAGATGAACCACACACAAGCTTTTAATAATATTTTTCAGGCTACTATAAGTTCCACAGCATTAGAAGATGTTGCTGTGTTCGTCTGTAGTAACTGGGTCAAACGCCGGTGTTCTGTCAGATCAGCATACGCCGTCAGATCGTCATACGCTTAGCACGAACTGACGGCTGTATCTGTCAGACAAGTATACGCTGCCATTACCATATGATTTTATTTAATCAGCAACATAGAGTCATGACATAGATTGTCATTCACTTTGTTATTAACAGCTGTATGACATCCTGACTCAGCGGTTAACTAGTCAGTCATTAAGCAACACGGAGGCGAGTTTCACATGGGCGTGTTTTGTAGTTGACTGCAGCTTTAGCTAGTTTCTGCTTTAAATACACTTTAAATGCACGACAATGCATGTATATCTATCTAGTTATTGAAAACAATTTATTGACTTATTTATGCTGAACTGACAACTCATCTGAAGGTCGGACTTCTTAATGCGCAGGCATGCGTACTCACTGCATGTATGCTATTCTGACAGTGGATGGTGATCTGATAGAACGCGGCGCTATCTTGTGATGATGTAATGAGGGTAAGTCAAAGCGTAAATAAGCTGAATACACAGAAGCAGCAGAAGTTGTGAGCGATTTCATCATAGGTTTGAGCGATTTGTCTCCAGGTTTGGAGGAAAACGATGGATGCAGTGATAAAGAAGAGGGGGCTGGCTCTGATGAAGGACTGCAGCCCTATTTTTTGAGCTGTAGGAGCTCCGAGTTGTTTGTTTCAGAGTAACTGAAGATAAGATTTGCTTCTGCACATTTCACAGCTCTGAGTTCATCCACCATTTCACATATCCGGCACCTTTTGACCTTTAGCTTGAAATGTTTTGGCTCGTTGGTGCCAGTTGATCCAAAGATGTCAGCCCCAGTCAGTGAACTGATGCATGGTCGTACGCTTCTGTTGTTGTGGAGCCCAAGAAGGTCCTACTGGGAAATGTGGCTGCATTTGCAATGCAAGATGTCATTTATCACGTTGATATGAAATTCAGGTTTAAAGGTTTCTTAAGGTAAAATAGCAGAAAGGTTTCATGTGAATGTGTCCTGTTGGAACTAAGTAAAAGGAAATTTGCTTTTTCGTTGCTATTTTAAGAAGAGGGGAAATATATTTCTTTATCTGGCTAGATAAGATCAAGACCAGATAACACTGGATGTTTTTATCATGTTTTATCATTAAACTCCCACCTTTGTTGCCAGGATAATGCATTACACGCAAATATATATATATATATATATATATATATATATATAAAATTAAATAAAGCTCGCAGTTTTGTCTTTCTTGCTGCCTAAATATAATAGTCATTGTTTGCTTTCACTATTTAATTCCTCCTCCTTTGTGATATTTTTATCATTTGTTAGGTTAATACATATATTTCTAATACAAAATATATTAAAACACTCAAACTTTTCTGGATTGCAAGTTTTCTCTGGAGTCCTCAGGCTAATAAAAATGAACCTATGGATTCTATCAACTTCAAACTTGGCACTTTAAAAAAAAAGATTTTTTTCTTTTGACACGAAAAAAGAAATCAGAACAAGTTTCTATGACGGCTTCCGATAATGTGAGCTTATGTTACCCAGCATGTGAAGATGGCATTAAAGTGTAAAATAAGTCAGCGTTTCTCTCCGCTCTTTCAGGTCCCGTAGCCGTGATAAGTGGTGAGGAAGACTCTGCCAGCCCTCTTCATCACGTCAATCACGGGATCATCACGCCGTGTACTCTGGATGCGGGACCCGACGCAGTCGTCATAGGAATGACTCGCATACCTGTGGTGGAAAATCCCCAGTACTTTAGGCATGGACACAACTGCAACAAACCGACCACTCGTAAGTCTGTCCTGTTGACTCTAATCCTCAACTCCAATGAAGCCAAACAGCGCAAAAATAAATATTTCTTCACCTTGAACTATTCGAGCAGATATCTGTACAAGTAAAGGGGACCTAGAAAAGAGTTCTGCATTCTGTATGTGTAAATCTGGTGGAAACATGTCAATAGACCAGACATTTTCATTGAAGCAAGCGATGCTTCTTTGTGGTTGTTCATTCATTTTGAATATTATGTCTTCCGGTTTGTGTTAAATGTTCATTAGAAATTGAAGTTCATTGATCCTTGAGGATGTGTTCTTACACGTTTATGCCATTACCATCATGTTACTTGAAAATGATCTCAAAGGAACAATATTATCGTATATTACAATAACTTCTGGGACAATTTATAATCCAGCAAAATTTATCGAGACATTTGTTATGTGTGGTTTTGATTCATTGAGACTACAACTACACTTTTTAGATTTTCACTTCACTAGTAAGTTCTGTTTTCTATTGGCGTATGAAAGAAAAAAAAATCCAAATTAAACAAATATATATTATAATCATGAAAAGAATTGTGGAAGAATCTCAAGGGGTATGAAGGCGCTGTCCGTTTAAATCTGCTGGTCGTCTTTCCCCAGTCGTCTATCAGCTGTGTGTGTGTTTGCTGTCCTTCCACATGGCCTGGTCCCAAAATGTAAAGGTCAAAAGATGGAGTGACGGAGGGGTGGGGGGTCTGGGAGTTGCTGACCAAGCCACAATCAGTTTAAACAGCATAAATTCTGCTTTCGATGCAAAATGCATCACAGTGTCTCGTTCCGTAGATGTGTTGTTTTGTTGAGGTGACCTGTCTGGATGCCAAATGCTCATCTGAGAGACGCTTGACTCGCACATGTTCACAAACCTTAGCAAGACTAAATTTTACTGTCACATATCAGTTAATTTTGCAAAGTGTGATCATCATCCCAAGCCAGCAAACAAAAAAAACAAACCCCATCAGTTTAGTCTCAGCTGCAGCTGTGTCTGTGCGGCTGTATGGCGTTAGCCTCGGTTGGAGAGGTGCCAGACTCTTTATGCACCTGGGTGAAAACAACCTTCACTGTTCCAGCGACTAGTGTTTATATACTCGCAGCCTCCCCTTCCCCAAATCAGCCACCCTCCACTGGGACTCGTGTTCCAAGTTGGGGAAAAGACAAGACCACTTTAAGGCCTAATTACTCCCAATTAGATTGGCTGCTCAGGAGAATCAGCAGAAAGCAACTGTTCCAGCAGCAAGCCGCAGCCTCACTCCTGCTCCTTCCAATCAAACTGCCTGTATTTTAAGGGTAAAGACTCTCTCCTCCATTCTGATCGCAGCAGGATTCCTCTTTTTCCATGACCTGCCCTGTCCAGATTGGACCTGGCCCTATCTCAAAATGGCCGCACATCACGCTAACAAAAGTTGGCCTCTGGGTGTGTAGCCAATGAGAAGAGAGGAAAACCCATTTAGAGGTGATAAATAAGTGACGGGTCTTATGCATTATGAATTGCATGAATTTTTAATGTCCAGCCGTTGACTGATTTATAACATCTCATGACTCGGACAGGAGATCTGATTGTGGGGCTAATGAATAAATGGCACTGGGTAGGAGTGAAACTTTCCCCCAGTAAATGAGCATGGAGAATTAAAAGTCAGGTCCTGTGTGTTCGGTGCCTTAGCTTTGACCTGGGCCTTCTCTTTTCTTTTTTTTTCTTTTTTACCCTTGGATTTAATTCTACATGCATGCACATAAAAGGAAATCGTAGGAAATGAGCCCTGAATTCATCACAAGGTCATAATGGCCACTGCTTTCTGCCACTGGCTAAGAAAACATCATTCACTGAATACGAATGCCTTCTTCACCCTCAGGACATGCACACAAGGAAGGGAAGTTTCTCTGTGTATCCATGTGTAAATGTGTGCTGTGTGGGTGTACTGCTGAAAATCTATACAAGGATGGAGGCGTGCTGTCTGTGTGCCTTGTAGGTATAAAAATAAGAGGAAAAATGATCTAATGTCACCTTATATTCCTTCACTGCGTCTATGATTTGATGTGTCAGGAGTCTCTTTGGTGTCCTTTGGTTCTCATTGTCCTGCTGGCCTTGCTCAGCACCACTCGCTTGGATACAGTATGTCGACTAATACATAATGTATTCATTAATTTACTTGAAAGCTTCTTATCCGAGAGAATAGCATGCTGCTAAAATATACACACAAGCGCAGTGGGAGTTCAGGTCGTACAGCTGTGACGCCTGTCTTTACCCGAGTCCATCAGGACTTCGCTAATGCGATGGTGAGACTCTTGTTGCACTCTGAGCATTTAAGAGATCATCTCCTGGAATAGCAATGAAGAGGTAAAATGCTGCTGCTGCTGCCATCCCCTTTCAACATAAGAGGTCAGTACTTTGGTCATCTGAAATGAGCCGTTATCACCAGGCATTGTGTGGTGGTAGGCTGCCTGAGACTTGACTTGGACCAGTGGTTTAACGTCTCAAGGCTTATACACTTGTGGGCTAAAGACTCGTATCAAGTTTAGTTCAGAAAAGAACTAAACTTGATACGAGTCTCTAACCCATTTTGTGTTTGACGGGTGCTGTTTTGTTTTTTTTGGCCCATACCTCGGACATCAAGTGGGTGACACTAGATGTCCGAGGTATGGGAGGAAGCTCAAATGACTGGAGTTGGCATAGTTACAAATATTTTCACCAGATATTGGACATAACATAAAACCTGTTGGATGAAAGTCCTCAAAGACTGAACTTGCGTATCTCTGGTCTGAAGACTCGAGACTTGACTTTGATATGTGGTCTAAAAACTGAAGGTTTGAGTCGGACCTTTGGCTGAGGGACTAAAAACCAAACATATCCTGATGGTTTTACCAAACAACACTTGATTTAGACTTGAGGGGTTGTTTTGAAAGGAAACTTGTATGTAGGCCAAAGGCCACAGCCCTGCATTTGAGTTATTATCCAGTGATACTTAAGGATTGTGGGTTATCAATTGGTCATAGCAATCTATTCATGTTAACTCTGGCTTCATAAAACCCCACTTCATAAAATTTACCTCATATACAGATGAACAGAGTTCAGTTGAGGGGTGAAAAACGTGATATGAATTCATGACCTACAGCAATACTTTGTTGTAGGAAGGTATTATATTAATTCAATGAAAAATGTTAGTTTTGGTCACTAGACACTTGAAACTTGCAAAAAATAAGCATTTGAAACCTCAAAGAGCTATAATGCAATTAACTCATCTCTTTTCTGAACTATTGTGTTTGACGGTGACTGTGTTTTTTTTGTTGTTTTTTTTTTCTTTACGAGTTGTAAAAGGCCGTTTCTGGGGAAATGTTGCCGCATTAGCAAGATAAAAGCACAGAAGTCAAAGGACAATTCTTTAGCCTAATGATAGATCTATATCTAGCTAGATCTGCTGTCTCCCAGCAAATGTCTGTTTTATCACCCAGCTCGCGATTTTAATTACAGAGTTGTCCCACCCCGCTGGCGAGTATTACACAATAGCGTTTGATGCTGGAGAGTACCGTAAAGCTTCCCATTATATCCATTTTATTGGGGATATAACTCCTGGGCATAGCTCGGACAAACCTCTCCTCTTTGTCCCCTTTTACTTCTGCTGAAACAGAGACATAATTGTGCTCAAGGTGATGTTTTTGAAGATTTTAATGTTCCCAGCAGAGACAAAGAGTGACTAATGTGGCTGCCTGAAAGCTTTGTAAGTGAATGTAAATGGGCACTAGATTGATTGAAAGGCAGTTTTCATGTTCCAAGGCTATGATTCCATAAATTATGGTCTGATTAAAAAAATAAAAAAGATTATGAAATAAAGGACCCAGGAGCCTGGCCTGAATTCAAACACTTTAGTTTGGACTAAAAAGTCCTGAGGTTTCCCAGAAAAACTCAGACATTAATATGTTTATGAACAGATGGCATAAATTTGGTATTTAAATAAAAACTGTTATATGGTATTATACACTTGTATAACACAATTGTTTTAAATTTGTGTGAAAACCTGTGTGAAAGACACAAACAGTATACTAAAGTGTTCACCACACTATGAGGCTGACGTACCAAACTGTGTAAAGACAATACAAGTTCATTTACTTTTAGTTTTAAAGGGGCAGTGTTGTGTTTTCCAGGCACATATTCCCATTTAATAGCACAATCATCTAACAATGTTACTTTCAGCTGTTAGAAAAATCCATATCAAATATGATTTTAAAGAAATTTTACTTTGTAATTTAACACCTTGAAATTGGGCCTCTGTCTGTTTAAAAACTCCTGCTCTTTCTGAAACTCCGCCTTCAGTCATAAAACATAAAACTGAACTGATATGCGAGAGTCATAACATCACTCCGCCATTAACGCTTTAACAACATTTTTCCCAGCGCTGCTCCAGGACGCAGCTCGTACAATGAGCTCACCAGTTCTGCCAGGTGTTTGCTAATTGCTGCTGGCTAGTCTGAAGGAGCTGAGTGGGAGAGTCATGATGCTCTGTGAAGTGGAAGCTTGGAATCTGCAGCTCCAAAGAGGAGCTGCATCTTGAAGGCGGTGTCAGGGCCAAAGAGGCGTTTTCTATAGCTAAATGGTTGCTATGGGAGACTAAAGGATTTTTTTAAACATGCATGAAAGAATCAAGGCAACACTCCAGGTATGTTTTTGATAAGATGTCAAAAATAGTTCGAGAAGACTTTTAAAGAAACTCCCTGGAGCAGCTAGTGTAAAGTACTTAGTGCCTAAATGTACTTAAAGCTTAAAGTTTAATCCAGCAGTAACACTGGGGTTATGCTCAGGGACAAGCCGTTGCCAAAGGTCCCCAATGACACGTTTTATCTCCATATTCTATTAAAGCTTTTGCATGGAAGCACTCAGTGTTTATTATTAGATATAAACTGATTTTAATACACAGAGAGGGAAAGTTCTTATCTCTCAAGATGAAACTTGGGGGGGTTATGTGGTGGTGGAGGGGCAAAGCATAATCC